TATTCTGCAAACTCAGAACCTCAGTGAACGGAGTAACCAAATTAAGCTAAAGCAAAGCAGTTGCCTTTGGGGGAAAAACTGACTTTGTTTTTTTGTCCCAGATGGCCCCTAGGCCTTTGGAAGGTGTCACCACCCACCCACCCAGTCCCTTTTATCCAGGTCATGCAAAGTCTCCTTGATTCCCGGTGATGGAGTTTCCGTTGCATTCCTCCAGAGTATTTTTCCGAGCCAAAACCTGGCATCTCTTGGTTGTCTCCCATTCTGAGAATCTGAATCTGCTCCTAAAAGATGGTTGAGCCTGGAGGTTCTTTTTTTTAATCCATCCCTACTGCAAGGCTGCTTGTGTCGTGGGTGTGTGAGCCACAGTCGTTGGTGTAACGCTGAGGTGAAACAAAAGCAAGCCCATTTATGGCGTGTGTGAAGCCGCCCATCACAGTTCATACGCCAAAGTTCCTGGATACACTCTCTGTAACCCAGCCAAGCGTAGTTGATTCAGTAAGATGTGGTTATGTTGAATCAGGGCTTAGAAGAGACCAGGCAATTTTTTTTTCCAGTCAGGAACAACTCCAAATTACTTTATGAGCCTCGAAGAGGGCGGGGGGGGGGGAGAGGACTTTTTGACACCTGGCAGCGGAATTACTGGTTGTGTGAATTTGGATTGCACGGTCTTGGGACTGAGCAGAGGAGGGTTGGTTACTCACTTCTGGCTTATCTCAGTCATCCATTCCATTTATACAGCCGCCCATCTCAAACGAGTAACTCTGGGCGGCTAAGAACAATTGAAAAAAAAAAAAGCAAAATAAACAATTGGCAGGCAAGTTAAGTAACCTTTTTAAAACATGTATGAGCTCAGCTTCGGGGAGAGAGGAGAGGTGTTGCCCCGCTTCTCCTGGCTAAGCTCCCCTCTCTGTGACAGAGTCTTTTTCTATCACATCCCCAAGACCTTCGTCTCATTCCCAGCCCGGCGGCGGAAGTCCTTCCTTGGACCGGTGTTAAAAGCACCTTCTCCCTTCTGAACCCATCCAAGGCCACCTCGAGGAGATGCGACCCGCCAGAGTCTGAGCGCAAGAGAACCCTTTCAGCTCCACGAAAGGGAACCTTTGGAGGAGGAAGAGGAGGGGGAGAGTGTGTCAGTCTATGGCAGCCGAAAATCAGGAGGAATCAGGAAGCTCCTTTTCCAACTCTTAATTTTATGGAAAGGCAGAAGCTTCGGTGAGCTGCGGCTGTCTTTCTCAGATGCCTGGAGAGGCTAAACTGATGTAGGATTTAAACTGGGATAAAGGGGGGAGGGGAAGAGAAAACAGGGTGGTTCAGCAGGTGCAGGTTACATGTCAGGCAGATTACAAGAACCTAATTAAGAAGCTAATAAACGCAACAGAACTGTATCTGTACTGTCTTGTGGAGTTCTTTGGGCTGAACGTGACATATTGTGAGTCATTAAGTGAGCGCCTCCTTGCAACTTCTTGCC